TACCTTTAGGTTCAATGAATATCTCCTATACTTGCAGTGTTTGGGAGACATTCACACTGTATGCAGCTGGTGACATCACCAGTACATGCGCTCTGAATGGATGGCATTCCTATGCCATCCCTTCAAAGCTCTGTGCTGTAAACCATGACTCCTGTGCACGTGCATAGAAATGATGTCATAGTGGCTTGGCTATTCAAGTTGCCAGAGCCTGCAAACCCTGAAGGAAGACCAGGTGAAGATGGAAGCCCTGTCAGGGGTGACAGAACAGCCCTGGGGGGGCTTTGTTCTAAGGTAAGTATTTTATAATGTGCTAGGGAGAAGATTTTTTTCCCCCAAAGATTAGAATGTCTTCTCTGGGCCCTGTCCAAATGGTAAAGTTACCACCTACCGTATATATTTCTAGAACAAATCTAATGTTTTTTCCTCCAGATATCCAACAAATCGGTTGGTACATGAAGGTTCAGCAGAGCTGCTCATGGAATTCCCCCTTGTGTCTAAATAATGTTTTTCAAAATAAAAGCAGTTGTTGGCAGGGACATTATGGGTTTGTGTCAACTGTTACTACTATGGTTTACAGTTGGGTATTTAATGCTGTACACACTTGATGTGTTTATCATTATGTTGCCCTAAAGAAGAGACTCTAAGATGCCTCAGAATGTTGGCTTAATGACCTACTATTTTACAATAAGTCACTGAAATGAAAATATTGGAGTTCTGATGACTTTGTACAGCTTAGATTTCTGCATGACACCATCGGTGTGGTAATTTTAAGAGCTTTCCTGATTACAACTGGCCAAGCACTGCATGGTTGTGCCACACTCGACAACATTTGTAGAAAGTATTTGTGGCTGTCTATGCTCATGTGACCACATGTAAAGTGAGGGCAATCTCCCTAGTGAGGACATAGAAATCACTAAAAAATCTGACAAAGGATCAAACTCAACCCTATATTACTATAAAAAATTGTTTGTTTTTCTTAAGTTTTGTATAGGGTAGACAAGGATTAAAATCCCTCTCAGGTTTTTATTGCTATGTTCCTGTTGAATTGTCCTGATGGGTGCTGTGACTTGGACAGAAACTGAAGAGAAAAATCAAATGTTACTGCTGTCACTAGAACAGAATGTACATTAAGCAAAAGTCCTCCAATTTGGACATCAGTTACAGTGACAACTGTATAAGAGGGAGTTCCCCTAACTTGTCAGCAAATTCCTTTAAAGGATAAGTTCACCTTTTAGTAACATGTTATTCAGGGTATAACAGTCAACAAGTTATGAGTGTACTGGCCCCTGCCCCCCCTGCCCCCCGATCCCTGTTGTGACAGTTAGCAAGGGATCTTCTCCTCTTCACTAGCTGTCACAATTTTTAAAAAAAACAAAGCTGTGCGGGGCCTCGCCTGTCCGGCTGCATCACTCATTCACGGACCTCTGTGAATGGGAAAACTACAAGTTCTGACAGCCTTTGCGGCTGTCGGCTTGTAGTTTTCAGTAAGTTACCATGGTGATCCACAGCGCCATGGTAGTTCATTGAGCCTCCCCGTCAGTATGCATCTGCTTGCCCATACGGGATGTATGGGCAAGCAGATACACTGACAGGTCAGAGGGAGATCTGCATGGCACCAGCAATCTGCTGATTTCTGGTCCAATGCTTTAGAGGCTCCAGTAACAAAAAATAATAAATGCACATTTTTTTACCTGCAAAAACATGTGCATTTATTGTTTTTTGTATAAAGGTGAACTTATCCTTTAACTTTCTGTTGTGTCTCTAGGACAGGAAGTGAAGTAAAATATTCCCTACAGGACACATACAGCAAAACTAAAACTTTAGAGATGAAGAAAAGTTCTACCCATTCCCATTTTACTTTAAAAAAAAAAAGTTTTGGTTTACTATATTCTTTAATTCAAAAAAAGTAATGCCTAGTACACAGGATGAGAATAATGCCCGGAAAAACAAATGCATTTGAAGCAATCGTCCAATATTCTATTCATCAGCACACAGCTTTCTAGAGCTGATCAAGACAGTTCATGTGAAAATATCAGAAGAAGCATGAAAATGTTTCTAGTAAGATAACAGAACAAGTGATGTTCATGTAATTAGTATAGTATTTGTACCACAAAAATCGGGTGATCAAGACTACATATGCTCGGAAATGAAAGAATACATTACAATTCAATACATTACAATACATCACTTCCAAAGATGTATTCTGCCTTATGAGAATTTATAGAACTTTACTAACCTATTCATTTTTGATATGAGAATAGCATGCAAAAATTAAAAAAAAGGGACGATCATTAGTTTGATATTCTCATCGTGTGTACAAGGCTTAAGACAAACCTGATTGATTGCTTCATTCAACACTCTTCTACTCCTTTACTTTATATTGTAAAGCGCTGAGCAAGCTGTTTGCGCTATATAAATCCTGTATAATAATAATAATACTCCCTCCTCTCACAATTTATACATCAGCTCATCAGTATCTGAAAAACTAGAAACTATTACCAAGGTGAGCATTTGTTCAAGTTTTCCATGCCCTAAATTTCTGAGCTTATCAAGAAATTCTCTTTTTAACAAGTACATTTTTGGGGAAAAAATATTGAAAATGCATCTTAAATAAAACACCTATGTTCTACAAGAATGCACACAAGAGTAGTACTTTTAGTTTAGTCATAAGGTGTTCCATCTGTGTAGAAAATGATTATCCTCAGTGGCAATGTGTATTTTATTGCTGAAGCATAACATTCAGTCACAATTCCATTTCTCTCATTATACTTCAATTTGCTTTCCAGATACAATTAGAAAAAAATAAATTCTATGTATTCAACATAAAACCATTTCATGGTACAACATCCATCAGTAAGGTAGCTATGCAGAAAGCTAGATAATGATATTAGTATAAATGGATGCCTGGTATTTATATTATACAAGCAGAATTGATAATATTAATATATGACACTTAAAGTGACTCTGTCATGGAAAAAGTATAGGGACTACCCTAGTTTGAAAATACTTGTTGCCTGGCTGGTGTATGGTTTCAGTACTATTGAGACCCAGACCTGGAACAAGCATTTTGAAAACAAGAGTAAGTAGAAGTGTCAGCACTTCTCTATGCTAGTTCCGGAGCAGATTCTCAGAAAGCATTGAAGCTGGTGCATAGGCATGACACCCAGGAATTTTTCAATGGAGAAATCAGCAGTGGCTATCCCTATACTTTTCTCATGATAGAGGCACTTTAAAACCCAAACTCTGGGTTAAAAACAATATTTTCTCCCATAAAAAACAGCAATTGCTTATGATGCATAGTGCTTTAGAAAACTAATGTCACATCATTGGGGTTTAGAGCTACTTTAAAGTAAAAGCTTATTTTTTTAAAAAAAATAACAAACTTGTTATATTTACCTACTCTGTGCAAGGGTTTTGCACAGAGCGGCCATGAGCCTCCTCTTGTTGGGTCACTTGCCAGTCTTCTGGACTCTTCCCCCCTGCTGCAAACCCCCAGAGCAAATGCATGCTCTCTCCTGAGACCCACTTTGTGTGCCCACTCCCTCTTAACTGGCCAATGACTAAAAAATAAACTAGTATTTTAGTAAATTAACCTGGCTTAGTGTCTTTACTTAGCTTTGTCTTCATTTACCTGAATTTGGTGAAGCTATTTTGTGGATACTGACAGAGAATGCACATCCTGATCCTAAACAACCCATTATATTTAACTGAGAGAATCAGAAGAAGGAATATCAAGGAGCTGAGGAACATTGTTTAGTCCACCGTTTTGCCAAATTTCACCTAATCCTCCCCTTCCCCACAGTCTGTCTCCTTTTTTTAACACATTAATATTGCAGAGTTCCAAGGCTAACTTATTTGGAGAAAGTGTAGTAAAACAAAACATTCTTTTGCTGTTCCTTAAAATAAGACTGTTTATGTAAATGTGGACTTGCTAAAATCTACTTACATTACATTAATGCATAATTGTAAATGTGTCTTTAAAGTAATATAAGTGGATTTTAGTAAGCCTACATTAATACACTGGATTACTTTATGATGACTTGTAATAATATAACATGCAGTACCACATCATCTGTTAACATCCACATTGCATTGTATTGTAACGCCATTCAAATTTAAAGACAACCTAATGAACTGTTACAGTAATGGACATCACATCTGTACTGCAGCGCACCAGAACACATGTAGTGCATTACCGTTCACTGCCTAAAGAAAAAAGGGTAGACACAATCTTCAGTGACCGTAGCACTCACAGGTTCTAAAACAAGTAATATGTTATTACAAAATACAGACATTGTTTCCCAAAGACAGTGCCATTTACCAAGACATTAATGCTCCGATAACACAGCTGGTGTTATCAAATCATGGTTTAATGAGCATGCAGACAAACTCTTGCACCTTCCCTGGGTGCTGCTGTCACTGGACCTCAATAACATAGAGCCACTATGGTAAATTTTGGAGAGCAAGGTTCAGGCTCGTTTTCTGCTTTCTGCACCTCTGCGAGAACTGGAATGATTTTTGCATGAAGAGTGGTATCAGATTCCATTATCCACCATCCAAGGCTTACTTTTATCAATTCCTAGGAGAATTCAAGCCATCTTGGATACCAAAGGCCGCCCAACACCATATTAGGTAACAATTTTGTTCTTTTTACCTGGTGTTTCCCTAATTTTGTCTAATGCCTGTTTATATCACCTTTCCCACTGGCAGAACACAATGGTTAGACACTCCATGCCTTCCTCTGCAATACAAGTCTATGTGAGGACATTTGTGATGAGGGGTGTGGCTGTTACTCAGCTGTGTCACCACAGAGCACTGGAGGGAGGCAGGAAGCAGCATTTTCATCGAGACAAAATATTAGTCACTATTAACTGCCTGTGTGCCCTGATGATCAGTGTAGCCCCATCAGTGCCACCTGTCAGTGCCCATCAATGCCACCTGTCAGTGCCCATCAATGCCACATACCAGTGCACATTAATGCCACATATCAAAGTTCATCAGAGCTGCCTTTCAGTGCCACCTATCAGTGCCAGTCAGTGCCACCTATCAATGCCAGTCATTGCCACCTATCAGTGCCAGTCAGTGCTGCCTATCAGTGCCCATCAGTGCCGCCTATCAGTGCCCATGAATGCCGCCTAACAGTTCCCATCAGTGTCACCTATCAGTGCCAGTCAGTGCCGCCTATCAGTGCCCACCAATGCCGCCTATCAGTGCCATATATAAGTGCTGCCTTTCAGCATCCATCAGTGATGCCTGTCAATGCCCACAAGTGCAGCCTGGCAATGCCCATCACTGCAGCCTCATTAGCGCACATCAGTGAAGGAGAAAAATGAGCTATTTACAAAATGTTATAACTGGAAATTTTGGGGGAAAAGTCTTTTTTAGTTTGTCTTTTTTAGTTTTTTTTTTAGAAAAAAATAAAAGCCCCAGTGGTGACTAAATACCACCAAAAGAAATCTCTATTTGTCTCAAACTAATTATCAACATTTTGTTTGGGTACAGTGTTGTAGGACTGCACAATTGTCATTCAAACTGACAAAGCACTGAAAGCTGAAAATTAGCCTGGGCAGGAAGGGGTTAAAAGTGCAATGTAGGAAAGTGGTTAAGATATAAAAAAAGGTGTGAGACTTCAATTGGACTTTATTGTTTAAGGCACTTTCCAGGATTATAGGCTGCACATGCAATTTCTCCAGCCCTGCCAAAATGATTGATAAGTACAAGTCACGATACTTGCACCCAATCATCGTTTAATGGATCCTCTTTTTACCTCAATAAGGTAATTGTAATTGATGAGATGACTGACCTGAAGCAAGGCAGAAAAATCATCTCAGGAATCTTGTCAATGATGTCTATCTAGTAGAAACATGATGGATAAGAGAGCAGATAATTGCTGGCATTGATATTTGTGTAGATTTTGTACATCACATCTGGGGGTGCCTATTATGCAACTTATAATCATACTGAACCTGGAGCAAAACCGCTTCATGCTGAGTTTCAGCCAGGAATTCACTGAAATATTAGCATCCCAATAGTTGCAGAAAAGATTTGTTCAGCCACTGCATAGAGATGACAATGGAATGCAAATGAATGTCACAACAAGAAACCAATAAATTTAATGCAGCCGATAAAGTGTAAGGAAAGCCCAGGAAATCAAGTCATATTTTACTTCATAAGCATAATAAAACTGGCATTATATACTCTAGGGTGCCATGAACAAAGATGATTACTAGCATCATATGGCATCTTCAGACGATCCAGTCACAATATTGCTTTGTCCTTTCTCATGATTAAAGGGGATTTCCTAGAAAACCAGAAATCCCCTATTTTAGCTGGGTCACCTCAGTTTATTTACATAGAAGGGTTTCCCTGTTCACAGCCTATAGCAAGCACATTCCTACCAATCAACACCTCTGTTCCTGACACCATTATGGTGCTGTTGTGGAAGTGCTGCTTGGTGCACTGACGCCTGACTACAAATATAGAATGGTTCCCATGAGAAATTATTCTGTTTAAAGCACATCTACATTTAGGTATTTAACAAATGCATCAGAGGAAGAAGGCTAGGAACAATAGTCAGTATGGTTTATTGTATTTCATAAATAAATGTCTAAAGCCAAAAATGATTTGGATATAATGAAGAGGTGTTAGAATGTCTGCCAGGTTTTCACTGTTGTCTGTGTCTCTTCTAAACTCACCACATGTGTTGCAATCTGATTGTACAATCTCCTTTTGATCTACCAACTATTATGTGTTGCAAAGGCAATATTGATTGATAGTTTAGAAAGACCTTAATTGTCATTGATCTGGCTGTACAATCAACTTTATGTAATATTAAGTGTTACTAAACCCACAACAGTAAAATCAGTCTGTATATGCAGTAAAGCATGCTTGGTATACTCATTGTGGAACCTAAGGGGTTAATCCTCTGCATTGTGTAAAAATGCTGTTTAAACCTGACTTCTCTGATCTTCCCCTTCTTCCAGTGTCCCCTCTTATCTCTTGATGAGACATATTGTGTGGAGACACGCTGCACATGCTCAATTTGGTGTGTATTGCTAGAGAGGTTTTAGAGAGTGCATGCAATCAGCACAGGGCCAATCAGCACTGTCTAGACAGAGGTCAGAGGTTCTGCATCCTCGTACAGCAGAATGAAAACTCCTCCCAGAAGCTTTAACCAGTGCTTTGCTGAACACTGATAGAAGTCACAAGACTGCTCTAACTATTGATGAGAAAAGGTATTTAGCAGTTTATATTTACTAAAATAATTGCTTTTTCATGTTCTGTGTACTGTGGGAGACCAGAGATAGTGGATGCAGGGTCCTGGGTTTAGTAACACTTTAAGGCTTATTCATACATGTATCAATACCATGAGTTTAAAATCTCATAACTGCTCTCCAATGCCTGCCATGAATATTACAATGGGCAAAACATGGTGCAGTACACACAAGAGCAATAAAGTTGTGTTGTGGTGTGTTGTGTTTAAAATTAAGCAGCATGTCTCTTTCATGAGGCACCAATGCTTGTCACCAACCTCCATTGATTTTAATGGTAACGATCTGTAACCGAAGCTTTAACATTTCTAGTGTGTTAATGAAGCATTTGTAAAGTGTTAGGCACTGGAGGTGAAGCAGTGGAGGTTCCTGTATCCCAGAATGCACTGGGAAATAATAGAGAACTAATACAGAGCAGCTCCAACTACTTCCTGTTTGTACAGAGCAGCTGTGTAGTAACCATTTGTTGTAAAGCGTATGGAAATGATTTATTAAGTTTAATAAAAAAGTATAAAATTGCACTCACTGCAATATTAGATTCAGCATGTCACTAAACCCAGGTTGAAGTCATCTATGGACTGGCTCTGGTGTGCAGAAATCAGCAGGGAAGCTAGTGGTATCGGCAGAGCTGCGCCTGGCAGCTGCTGGAGCAGGGAAGATGGTAGCTGTCAGGCTGGAACTCAAGCTTTTGTTGGTACAGCTGGGCGGATTCCAGGAATACTTCGGCAGCATGGCCTGGATCAGCCGCACTCAACTCTCCTTGGGAATCCTTGGTGATGACATCACTACGTTGGAAGGGGGTGTGGATATGCATTCCAGGACTGACATGTCCCTTTATCAAGGCAAGAAAATGGGAATGGATGGAGATCAAGCCTATTTAATGCAGGGATGGGTGGAGACAAGTCTAACAGGCAAAGGGAACCCACAAAGCCTTAACAACAGGAGTTTGCATTCCAGCTTTACAGCTACCATCTTTGTTGCTCCAGCAGCTTACAGGTGCAGCTCTACCGATACCAGCAGCTTCCCTGCCAATCTCTGCACACTAGGGATGGTCCACAAAAGGCCTCAACCTGGGTTTAGTAACATTCTGAATCTATTAATAATGCAGGGAGTGCAAAATTCCTAATAAACAATAATTTGTCAAAAAATGCAATGAGTGCAATTTTATACTTTTTATTGATCCTAATAAATGGTTAACACTTAGTTTGTGGTGACCTGTGTTGCTTGCTTTTACATATGTGCATTAGGGTACTCAAGACTTGGTTCAGAGGAGCAGCAACTACACCAGTGTTTCTGTCAAGCATCCATCATTGGACTTTTAACTAATTTTCCTCTAATCCCCTAATTAAGTTACTTTTATGTACTATCCCATCTTGTGCCAGCTACCTTAGTCCCACTCTATTGACTCTTTTTCTATTCCTATTGGTCCAGACAGCACCATGGCCTCATCTTATTTTCTTTATGGTAATTCCCCTTGGAAACTCTTTGCAAAACTGTTGGAATGTACCCAATACCGGAGCAACACCTTTCTCTTTTTGCACTTGTCCATTCTTTCTATGATCTTCTTGAGCTAGACCAAGCCAAGTGTCAAAGAATTCATAGTATACAAATCGATCTTGCAGAGAATTCACATAAATGTCTGCTATCACACGCCTTCACAACCTAACCACACCTCAAAGTAGATCATTTCCTCAACATCACTTCCTCTTTAAGCATTTCCCACTAGAAAAAACACTTTCATTGGCATTTATCAAACATTTTCAAAGCCTTCTTAACACTTCATAAACACAGCAAAAACACATCATAAATGCCAAAGAAGCATTAATGAGCATCGCTTCATTCTACATATCAATACATATGTAAACAAGCCCTTAGGGGGTTTATCCTCACTATCTGTCTTGGTAGTTGGGACTGAAAGTGAGGGAAAAGACAAGATTTTGAGTTTCTACCAGAACAGCAATGAAGGGGAAATCTTCCACACTTGTTCTGGTGACACAGTCTATGGGGACACTTCCCTCACTTTTAGAGAGATTCCTTCTAATTCTGTTGTGTCTATATGACAGGATGGAAAAATAAAGACTGGTAAGGGTTTTTACTTATTCTTACTGTATTCTAGTTAAAAAAGTTAATTATACCTTACAGTAGAATTAAAGGAAAAACATTAGGCAGTCTGTGGTCACAATCAACTGGGGGAGATAGCAGCCTCCCATTACTTTCAGTGGGGCTTCAACTGACTGCTAATCGCAGGAATACCCGAGGGTTCTCACATCTATTTGGAATGCGGGTGCATTTGCAGGTGTGACTATGTCTTTAGGCCTGTTTCACACAGGCTTCAGCTTGTATAGGAGCAGTGGGAACACCAAGCTTTGACAAAGAATGTTAAGAACTTTCAGCAAACTTTGTTTATGCTTTTAAAGTACTTTCAGCTCCAGTTTATAAATGCTGAACACAGAGTCTAATAGGAGTGCTGATTACCACTTTAAACAAGCTGCTAGCAGGCTTAGATGTACACTTACCAGCCACTTTATTAGGTACACCTGTTCAATTGCTCGGTAACACTAATTGCTAATCAGCCAATCATATGGCAACAACTCAATGCATTTAGGCATCTACACATGGTGAAGATGACTTGCTGAAGTTCAAACCGAGCATCAGAATGGGGAAGAAAGAGGATTCAAGTGACTTTAAATATGGCATGGTTGTTTGTGCTAAATGGGCTAGTCTGAATATTTAAAAAATTGCTGCTCTACTGGGACTTTCACGCACAACCATCTCTAGGGTTCATAGGGAATGGTTTGAAAAAGAGAAAATATCCAGTGAGCAGCAACTATGTGGATGAAAATGCCTTGTTGATGTCAGAGGTCAGAGGAGAATGGGCAGACTGGTTTGAGATTATAGAAAGACAATAGTAACTCAACTGTCAATATGGATCAAATTCTCTGAGGAATGTTTCCAACACCTTGTTGAATCTATGCCATGAAGAATTCAGGCAGTTCTGAAGGCAAGAGGGGGTGCAACCCGGTATTAACAAAGTGTACCCAATATAGTGGCTGGTGAGTGTATACAACCTATCTTTATAAAGA